TCTTTCACGATGTATACCTTGCTATATACAAATCAAATAAAGAAATGATGTTTACCTACAAAAAAAAAAAAAAAAAAGAGTTATGATATAAGGTTGAAAAAAAAATAAAGCAGAAAAATACTTAAAATATCTAAAATTATATTCTGTTTATTAAAAGGATTTAAAAATATATTCTAATAAAACCATATGTTTAAAGAATTATTTATTGATTTATTAAAAATGAAAATTATAAAATTTTGATCTTGCAAATGCTTATTAATAATCTTAGATATTTTTTTTTAAATTATTCATATATTGTTACATGATTTTATGAATATCATCTTGACTTTCAACTTTTTGAAATAATACAGGATAGCTTAGATTTTCATAAATAATTTTAGATATATAATATATTTCTATAATATATATATTGACAAAATATTTTAGTACCAGTTACTAATAAAGTAAGAAATAATTTATTTTTATACTTTTTTCAATTCAGTATATAGATATTCAAATATAACAATTATATTTCAATCTGATAAGAATTTGGTTATATCTAAAATTTTATTTAAAGATAACCTTTTAAATATAATATTTTCTTGATATGATTTAAACATATTTATAAAGATCTGAAAACTATTTTATACAAGTTATTATTTCAGCTCAAAATACTTGTCTATTAATATGAAATTATTGTTTTTAATATTGCAGTTTTCTTTTTTACCTTTAAATATTTGTTGTAATTTATTATTTAGTATAAAATTAATTATCATATTAGTTTTTTTGTTATTGAAACTACCTATTACAAGAAGTTCAAAAGATTAATTAAGTAAATACTTATTATCCTTCATTTGTTCTAGAGATTTTTTAGAAATTTTATCTAATTGATATACAAATATAGATATGTCTTCTTTCTATTTATTATATTGAAAATATTAAGAATGGAAATTAGTTAAATATGTTTTCTTCTTCAATATATATTAGATATATGCTTTAATATCTAAATTGTATAGAATTTCAATGAGATTTTTGTTCTTTCTTTTACATATTTCCCACTTTTTTGATTATATGCCTTTTATAAATCTAGGTTATTTTAATTTTTATATTATAAACTATTGCAATAATAGTATTAAATATTCTAAAATTTGAATAACAATTTTATCTCTTCATTATATCTATCTAATTGTATCTTATTCAAAAATAATAATTTATATAATAAAAATTTCTTACTTAGCAAACCTTCAAAAATATATTTTATATTTCTTTCAATAGTATAATGATATAGGAAATACTATTTAAACTTTTCTGTAATTAATAAATATAGATATTCTTACTGATGCTTTTTATTTTATCTGTTTGGTTTTTTCTAAATATTGATTATTTCACTTCTTATTTTCAATACATAAAAAATGAAATTTTTCATGAAAATTAATATACATATATACAGTATATACCATATTCTTCCAGTTATAAGCTCCTCTTTTTAAAGTTTATGTTAGATTTATTTTTATGGAGATGCTTATAATTGAAAGAAATTATTTTTTTTAATAATTTAATTAATATTGATTTGATTTAATAAAAAATATATCATTAAAAAGTCCTTATTGAGAGAAATCTAATGGTATAATTTTTATTAAAATCCAATCATTAGATACTGAGATATATTAATTTTTGTATTTTTTTTAAATAAAATTTCTTGGTTTTTTTTTTAAATTTTTTTTAAAAATTATAGGAGTGCTTATAACTGAGAAAGCTTATAACTGGGAGAATATAGTAAATTATATATTGTTAGTGAAGAAAATGCTTGAGTAAGATCCAGTAATACAGCATTCATATAATGTATCTATTTGAAATATAGGTATTTTTCTAACAAATAGTCTAATAACATAATAAAATATCTAAATAGTTTATTTTATAGTATGATAGTTTTTAAGTTATAATATCATAGTTTTATAGTATATTAGTTAGCAATAGTGATAGTGATATAAATAAAAGTAAGAAAATACAAGAATAAAAGGAAACAAAAATTTTAATTTTAATCAAAAAAAGAAAAAACTTAATTAATATTTTTCTTTATTGAAAAAAAAAAATGTGAAATGGTTGTGCAATATTGAAGTATTAATTAAAAATTACTATAAGTAGTAATAATGTATGTATCTAAATAAAAAATTATTAATTAACTTATCTTTCTAAAGTAAATTATTATGAGAATATTATTCTATGACTCAAACTATTTAGGAAAGACAACAAGCAAAATAAAAGAGTTAGTAATAATTTTAAGATCAATTAAGTTAAATCTATATCTTAAGTAAAGAAATAAATACAACTTATTCTAATATTATACGAGTTTGATCTGCCCCTAGTGACAGACTTGCTAATTTAATATTAACAATATATATATATATTAAATATTATTAATTTGTTATATTTCTTCTCAAACAATTTATAATATTTAATGATATAATATTAATTTTAAAATATAGAGACTATCTGGTTTATATATATATTTAAGCTATTTCTGTAATATAATATTTATAGTTTTAATTTTTTCACTAATTTTTTTACATATTTAACTCTTCTAATAGCATTTTGCATCTATAATTCATAACAGTATAATGTATATTCATTATCAAAATTATATATAAAATTAGATTTTTATTTAATTTCTATATATTCTTAATAATTTATATTATAAAAAATATTTTCTATACAATTAGAACCAATGTCTCTTTATTCTTATATGGGTAATTATTTTCGAAGGTGAACTGGAAATTTTCTGGTGTGATCCTAAATTTATATTATATAAGTATTGTTTAAAAGCTGGATCTGAAAAAATCATATCTAGAATTTCTGTCGTCTTCAAAAATAATTACCCATATAATTATAATTACTTGAATTTTTGATTTATTCTTCTATAAATACTGATTGATTGCAAGAAAAACAAATAGCAATATCAATTTCAGATGCATAAATTGTATAAAATTTATTAATATTATTTCAATATCTTTTTAACTTTCCAACTTTAAGATATTTTTTGCTATTATAAAATAAGAAAGTATTTTTTTTAAAATATGTAAAATGTTTTCAAATCTATTTTATCTATTCACTGGGATTTTCACTATTATGAATTTGTGGCATTTTACAATATTTATTCCATTTAGCATTGGTATAATTGATTCAATATTTTTAACTAAAGTTAAACATCTATCTTATATAACCTATTTATAGTATTTATAGAAGTTATATCAAATTTTAGAGATTGAGACCTATTGAATTTGTACAATATATATGATTAAAACTAGATTAATTTTAAAGTAGATACTTAAAAAACATTTTATAGAACCTGAATTATTGAATAAATTATATATATTCACAAGTAAAATATATAGTAAGAATAGGAAAAATATATATGAATCTAAAGATTTGCTTATTTGAACTTAAGTTTTAACAAGAATTGTAAATCTAAAGAATTGTTGCTTTGTAATAATTTAGTATTAATTCTAAAGAATTTATTATTGAAATATTTATGTATAAATTACTTATTTTTTTGAATTAAGATTTGAAACTTTTTTTTATATCCCTCACAATAATAATACCATTGCAATTTTTCTTTTTATTCAGTTTTCTCAATCTTGCCAAATAAATGGATTAAATGAGGTACAGAACCTGGAGTTATATTTATATTAACAGAAATATCCAAAATTTGTTTAATAAAGATAGAATTTAATAGGGTTTTCTTTAGATTTTGTAAGGACATGGAATCAGTGCCCCTAATAAATTCAAATAACTCATGTAATAAACCTTGTTCTAATTTCTTATTATAGGAAAATTTTATTACTAATGTACTAGCTTCTGCTATTTGGAATGAGATATCACTTACTTCAGGAATGTCATTTTGCACTTGATCAATAGATAATTTGGGCTTAGGACAAGGAGACTTTATTTTTTATTGATCTAATTTAAATACAAAGTCATCCTTACTTTGTGAGATGGGGTTTTGAAGTAAGCCCGAAAATGCATTCTGAGATTTTGATTGGTTATTTTTCTGTTCTTGCAATAAATCACATGATAAATTAGATTGATCTGATGAACTATTATCCGAATATAAGTTTTGATCCCAAAGTTTCTTTTCTCTAATTCTTTCCATTATTTCTTCACTAATAAATACATTCTTTATATTTCCTTTCTACAAAATCTAAAGTCTTACCTGAATTGGCATCAATAATATCTATGGCAAAGAAGTAATAGATGACCCAGGATCAGTTAGAGATTTAGATTTGCTCCTTTGGATTTGGGTCGAGTTATGTTTGGACATGGGAAAGAGAGTAATACCATTATTTTTATCGGACTGATCTTCGATAGGTGGTGAAATATTTTTTATGGGGGATACTTCCTGTTCATTAGTGATAACCTGTGTTTGCTTCTGTTCCAATTTCACAAATCGATTTTCACTTTCTTTCGCCGACTGTTCTAGTTCCACAATTCTGTCATTGAGCTCACCATCTCTCAACTTTGCATTCTTGGCATTTTCTTTTGCGGTCTGTTCTAACTTTACAAATCTAACCTCAATTTCTTCCTTATCTTGTTTTAATTTTATATTTTCGGCCTTTATATAGCATTCTCCTTCCTAAGTTCAGCAATCTGGTGAACAAGATCAGAATTTAATTCTCTCAATGAATCGATTATGGATTGTGAATTTCCAATTGTTTTACATAAGGTACGGATATGTTTAATAGTTTGATAAAATTGCGTGTGTGTGAAGAATTCTTCACGCCGATCACTTTTGCCAAGAAAAAAAATAATCACGACTATACATAAATACATTATCAGCTTCCAGTACCCGAACCCGTGATTGAGCATTGATTCGTATAATTATATAAGGAAATCTTTACTTAAGCAATGATATATTTACACGAAAATCTATTATTTTGATACAGCCCGTAATGAAATATTTATATAGTGTCGTGGGCTCTCCGGCAAGCCCACCCTCCTGGTCGTCGCTTCGGTTCACAATAAGGTAAGTTCCTAACTCTTGAGGCGTGTTTCCGATTTGGCCGTTCTCTCACTTTAACTTCTCTACCGACTAGCCTGGAATCTTTTCAATGCTAATTTCCTTAGACAACTCTCAGTTCTCTCTTGTAGTCGCGTAGCCCAAGTTACAAGTCTACTTTGGCACACTAAACACAAGGTAAGAGTTTATCCGTCAAACGTTACTTTATTGTTTATTGCTTAAGGCGTTACTAACTCTAAACTCAACTCTTATCTAAATCGTCTACATGCTACTGAATGGCGCATGTATTTATACATGCGCCTGTTATTTACACATCTGTTTACTATTCTACGTTACTCTAGAAATTTCCGCCACTAAACTTTCCCACACCTTAATTTATCCACCTCTAACTTTCCCACCGTCGATCTCATAATACTAATTACGTGACGCGACGGTGTACATTTTTACCCACGACAATAGCTACGAGATAATAATATAAACACTTCGTATCCTCATTCCATAAGACTATCTACACTATATTATCTGCGAAGCTGTGTATTTCATGCATTGCGGGGCTCATTGTTGTAAAAGGTAAGATCGGTGAAAATTTTATTAAATGTAAATTATGCAGTTATATCAAAATAAGACTAGATTAAATTCTGATATAAAAGAAGTCGTACACGTTAATTAACAATTTAAAACAGCATCCCGAATATCAAAGAGATCGATGGATATAGGGTCAGGTAAAGGGGGTGAGGGAAGTATGAAGTTAGGTGGCATCCCATCGTAAAGGCAACTCAGTTGAATGTTGATCACGCATTGCCCCAATACAATGTTGAGGGGATTGCCCTGACGATCAAACGTCCCGAATTCATACTGAACAGAGAATACATCAGATTCACTCAACTTTGTGGCGAAAAAGCACTTAATAATATAGCATACCATGATGGGAGCGAGTGCGCCAACGGCTGTTCGATTATTTATACAGTAATGCCAAGCCTATTAAAGAACAAATATCATTTAAATGATACATTGACAAATACAGAAATTAAATCCTCTTGCGATTACTTACCGTCATCTCCGTTGGACGCATGCCTGGTATATAGTTAAAGTTAACGCCAATTGCATCGTGAGCTCTATTAGGGGCGAGCCAGTAAGTCTCTATTTTCCTCTTAAGTTCCGCCTCGGTTATGGCATAAGCGACCTCTATTACAAGACTAGGCCAGGGTTCATTCTAAGAGTACATGTCATCACCAATATTAGAATTCTCAACATAATCACATTAAGAAAGCGAATGAGATAAACTCTTAATACCCCTCCATCAGATCCACCACGGGGCACTTGAGGCTTTCCTTTTGGTCGAATAGACGCAGCTGCTTCTTTTCCTGATCTACCTGAGGTTGTTGCTGTTAATCAGAGATGGTGAGTAATAGAAACATACCTATAACAGTAGCATAAAGAAAGCCAACAAAAACACTCACTCGTCGCACCATAAAAAAGAAAGCCTACAGGAGTGTTCCTCACGGCTTGAAGTGCTATACCCAATTCCACTGTAATTGTACCAACGCAAATCTCGTGAAATTTTGAGGGAATTTCGATAACAAGAACAGATCCATTTTCCCATTCCCATAGACCCTTCACATTATATTTATCCGTTTTAATAATATACTCGTCTAAGGTGACATCAGTCTCTAGCACATATGGTAAACTTTAAAATAAATATCAGCTGACATCAGACACTGGTTTATAAAAATATCCATTCGTCAAAGCAAATAGGAAAGAGACTTACGTAGCTTCTTCCCACCTGGCCTTCGGGTGTATGTTGCCAGTTTTCCACCAAAAAAAACGATATTTTTTTATTTCATCAGTCTCCTCGATACTATAAATAGAAGTAGAAGAGGTGGTGGCGGTCTCCTGGGTCATACTTCTTGGAATAATAGAATCCGTATTGACAATGCGATCAGTTATAAATATACACGTTACTTTATTACGTAGTATGGACGCCATTGCTTTACAATATTACATATAAAAAAAGAACCAAACTTCGAGACTGTGACAGCCAGTCACGATCGAGTTACATCATAGTCACATGACCACCGCATTTTTACTCGGAATTAGTATTCTTCCTAACCTGTAATGCTACGTATTTGATATTTCTGAACTTAAATTTGAAATCGATGGTGCAGTAAATCTTTTTATTTGTTGGATATATGTCATCCTTTGAATTTTATCTTCACCAATACGAAAAAAAAGATCATAAATTTTTCTAGCTCTTTCTGTTTTCTTTCAGAGTGCATTCTTGGAAACTTCCTTTGGAAGCTGATCTCAAACCTCATCGTTAACCTTTTTTTGAGCCTCATGTTCTTCAATATATTGTTTATACTGTAGTTGGTAAGATGTTTCTCTAATTCCTCTTCAAGGAAGTAATATGCTCTTAAGACTTTATGACGTACATTATTACTATTTTCCTTAGCTTTGGATATTTTTAGATATAGATTGAAAAAAATTTGGGAATCATTAACTTCTCATACAGATTCTTTGTGAAGATCTTTTTTTCTCCCTAATTTCAGAAATTCGAGTGGTATCAGATTATAATTCCCAAATAAACTTTTTTAATACAATCGAGTCCTTATTTTTAATCTTTTTTTTTTTTACTGGAAAAATTTTTGGTTAATTGATTTGTAGCTTCATTATTTCACTTTTACTTGTCTAATCAGATTGGGTTTCAACTTGAGATTTTTTTCCTTCTTTTCTCATCCTCATCTCTATCACCCATATTCACATCTTGATTTTGAGATGAAATTTTCTTAACCATATTCATATCTGAATTCCAGGAGAAAATTCTTAACAAATTAATTTCAATATTATGGATAAATTCATCAACTAGAGTTGGTATGCCACTTATTTGAGAAGATATAAAGTTCTGTCTCTGAGTTTCATTAACAACATTAATACTTTTGTCACAACTGAAAAAAACATATACTTGATATCATATGTAAAATTTTTTTTAATACAAACTTTATAAAATATATAACTATACTTGAGTATAGTGAATTCCTTATAAGCAACTGCTAAAGTATCTTTGATACAGATTGAGTATTTTGGAATTTCTGAAATTTTATCCAGGTTAACATTATCTTCAATAATTTTTAAGAGAAAATATTTTACAAATTTTAATAAAATATCTCAAAAATCAAATAACAAAAATAATATCTGTTTAGATATTAATTTCATTAATACTGAAACATAACTGTTGGCCAAACTGAAAACCAAATTAATGATCAAATTGAAGATTTTTCAAATAATGGTGATTGTATTTCAAAATGAAATTAATATTGTATATCTGCTGTATTGAAGTTTTTTATGAAGAAAAAATGATATCAAAGAAACTATTGCTATAATATATTATATATGTAAAAGCAAATTAAAACCAGACAACATAACTAGAACACTTGCAATACATTTAAATAATAAATACAAAAGCAACACTTTATTAAATAAATCAAATATTATTATAATATCTTATACAAGAAAAAACAATAAATATGTAGAGAATTTAAATAAAAAAATTATAAATTTTTTTATATGCTATAAATACCTTTTTTTAATTGTCAATAATTCATATTATAAAGCAATAGTCAATTCATTAGATTCTCAATATAAAATTTTTTGTTAACATTATATAATAAAATTATAAATCAGTTTGAAGCTATGTGTAAAAAATTATTAATATACTGAACAATATTAAATCTATGATATTTATTATTTGCAATATATGGACTTTACTTTCAAACTATTTATATCTTAATGTTACTATATACTATATTGATAATAGTTGACAAGTTTATTACTTTTTATTAGATTTAATTTACTATTCAGATAGTTATTCTGATATAAATACCAAGGATTAATGTTTAGCACATATTTTAAATATTATAATAAAACACAACATACAACTTCAAATAAAAATTGTTGAAAAAGTCAGAAATTTTGCAAAAAAATAAGGCAATCACAAGCATTATGCAATGCATTATAAAGTATTTGTGTTATAAAAGGATCCAAATATCTTAAATTGAAGTTGAATGTTGATACATATTGAAATAATACATTTTATATTATAAAAATTTGCAAAAATAAAAGAAATGCTTAAGTTTTTGGTTATAAAAAACAAAAATGTCTTAAAAATTTATGATCTGATAATAAAAAATAGAAGTATATAAAATTAATAATAAAATTATATAAGTCAATATTTTATGTAATAAATTTATTATTTATCAGCACATATTCAATAATAAGTAATGTAGGACTTATATTTATTAGTCTTTTATAATATTTGAATTAGTATTTATCAAACCATGAAATAAATGAATACAGTTTTTACAATATAAACTGGAAGAATATTGGAATATTATTAGTGAATCAACAATATTATCAACTTTACTTAATTCACATTTCAAATTAAAAACCTTTATAATATATAAATCAAGAGTAATTGTTATAAAAATACTGCATACATGTATTTA